TTCTGATAAGCCAAAATGAATGCAATTCAACACAGGCTGGGGAGGTGGGGGCTCTAGCTTCTGGGGACGGAGTGCTTTGATTCCCAAGGGTACAGTTCACCAGGGAACATCCTTGTCCCAAGTCCCTTTCTTTCAATGAAGCCCGCAGAGCAGCTGTTCCTGGGTGACCGGACCCAGCGGCTCCATCCAGGTGCCTTTCGCCTGAGTCTCATGCTGGCTGCATTAAAGTCCACCCAGAGGGAGAACTTGTGGGTGGTGTTTGGCACCACAGGGTAAGAGGCCTGTGTGGACGGTCAACGGAACAGAATTCCTTGCTGAGGAACACACCGGGATGGAAGTCGGCTGACCCATCACCAGGCTCTGGGTGAGGCCCCAGGACAGAAGAGATCGGCTGTCATGGACTGAATTTTTGCAAGAACCCACTTGGCGTTTCTCAAAGCTGAGAGGAGGGAAAAAAACCCCAATCCCACACCCCAACTTATGAAATTCTCTACATATTATACATTTCAGCTGCCTTGCTGATTTTGAGATTTCATAGCTTCACAAGTTTATTTGGCTGCATTAAGACAACTGAAAGCTTATCATTCTACCTCTTTCCTTTCACCGAGAGCCCAACCCCTTACACACACGGACATGCAGGCACCCACGACACCCAACTGCTCCCAGGTCCCCATCTAACAAACAAAAATATATGCAGGTGAAGATCTTATGTTTTTTAAATGATGGAAACAAGCTAAAAATAAAGCTTTATATTTTTTGTTTAAAAGGTGGCACGAAATGCCCAGCAGGGTCTTGAGTTCTTGCCCGCGCCAGGGGGCAGCACACACCCCCAGAGGGCCTCGCAAGCCTCCCCCCCCCCCCCGCCCAGGCCAGAGAGAAGGGCTGCTCCTGTCCCCTGTTCCATCGGCCGGAAAGGCAAGGCCAAAGCCACCTGCTCCGACAGGAAAGCTTGCCTGCCACCCAAACCTTTGCACTTGGCAGTCTGCTCACCCACTGCTTAGCAAGGGCACAGCTGACCACGCCCCTCGGCCCTGGAGAGCCCGCCAGCGCCGCTCCAAGCAGGGTCACACCCTTCCGCATCCATTCAATTCAACAGCCTTCGGAGGCCGCAGCTCCACTCAGGACGGTGCCGTGCGTGTAGCAAGCCTCCAGAATACCCCCGAAGCCCAAGGACGGCTTTTCTTTTCATCCAGAGAGCGCAGAAGACCCACGGCAGCTTCCCACTGTCATCTAATTCAGCACATCCTCACAGGTTCTTCGTTTGCTTTCAAGGTGCAATATGAAGGCTGCAAAATTAGATGTGTGTTTGTTCGTGTGTGTGTTAAGCAATCTTGTGATTGTTCAAGCACAGCATCACCTGAATGTATCAAAACCAAACCACCCCCCCACCCAAGGTGCTGTAGCAACCACCATCCATTCCCAGATATTTCTGACACCCTGAACGCTCCGTGTGCACGGAGAGCCTCCATGCCACTGAACGGGCGGGGGAACGGGCCGGTCTCTCTGCCTGCTGCCCCCCCTAGTGCAAATCGTGTCCCTCTAAACCAAGGCGTGCCCCTTCCTCCGCAGAAGTCTTTGGGAGCTCTGGGCACACCAAGATTGGGAGCAGAGTGTACAGCCACACAGATCAACATTGGAAGGGGGGGGGGACCTCACACTGACACATGCTTCAGTGCGGACAATGGCCTCCTTCCAGTTTGATTATAGGCCTTTTGATTTGTGAACAAAAGACTTTGGCTTTTAGAACCGTCACTCTTTGGCAATAGCACTGCCAGTGCAAACTCTGGGGAAATGCCACACGTGAACAAGAAAACCAAATGAAGCTTTACAAGCGGCCTCCTCAGAAAAGGGGACTCCAGGCAGCCCCAGAGGAGTGTGAGGGTTCCACTGCACACTAGGCACCGGAAGTATGCTTCAGAAACAACAAGAGCAAAAGATACCAATACATATAAAGGATCTTTAAGTGAAGGTTTTTTTTTTTTTTTAAAGTGTATTATGGAGGGGTGCGGTCATTTATGCACTATACCCAACTGGAGCCAAATAGCCAGTCTTTCTTTGCTGCTAACCAACTGGCTAAAAAACCCCACATCAATAGGCTGGGCGTTGCTTCTGTTGATGTGCCTACTGCTTTCAGAGCCGCCAAAGCGGAGCTTACAGAGAACTAGTAAGTCCTTTCCACAGCAGCTGTGCACACAGTCTGAGTCCCAGGGACTGGTGTCATGTGTACAGATAAAGATGCGTGCCTCTCCAAACAGGATCCTGTCCCCCCTCAAGATTTGGCTGGAGTGCTGCCATGTGCTTCTTCAGCACACCCCTCTTCCCTTCACCCTCTCTCATGCTCACCATGTGGGAGCTTTAAGTACAGCATGTCAGATGTCACCTGCCTCGCCTAGCCAATCAGAATGCAAGGTCGCCTGAGCTAACTGCGTAGTTAGAAAGGCAGCTTTCAAAGAGCTGAATAAAATGTTCTCAAGCAATAAGTAAAACATTACAAATGCATAATAATAACAACGCATCATTAAAAACCAGGACTGAGGGCTAAGATATTGCCAGGGGCTTTTGGTATTCCCCGAGCTTTTTTCCCTTCTTTTTTTTAAACTGCTGTAGCAGCAGCCACAGTGGCAAACTGAAGAAAATACTTCACTCCCCCCCCCCCAGTATTTACATAGTTTTTCATTATATGCATTCTGAGCAGATCATTCAGTGATCGTAGCTGTGATTCAGCCACCCACAGGCTGCCCGTCCTCTTCAGCGCCACACAGGCCATGTGTTGCCTGTTGGTAGAGAGAAGGGGCGGCTCCTGAAAGAGCAGTTGTGGTGGAGCTGCAAAAAGCACAAGGAGCCCTGTGGGCCTTTCGAGGGGCACACGGCCATTGTGGCTACTTGTGGAGGCCCAGGCAATGTCCTCAGGTGGAGAAGCTGCTTGCCATATGGCACGGCCATGTCAGGTGCCGCCTCACTCTTCATACCAGTCCTAAGGGTGGTGGAGGACTCTGTCATTTTTGCAGGGATTGGACTACTCTTCCTGGCACACATGGACAAATCCAGGTTGACAAATGCCTCTGGAAGAGAGCTGAATATTGGGGGGGGGGGTGTGTTTGTTACACCTTGAGGCTCACACACACATGCGCACGCACGCACACACAAGCTAAGGAACCAAAAAGCATGCCATTCCCCAGTGAAAAGTCTGGACAGGCAAACCACAAATATATGTCAGCAGAGAGAACTTAAGCAGTCAATGGATGGCACTTCAAAGTTGGCACACAAATCTCTTCTAAGCAATTCACAGTGGGTTCCAACAACAGACTCATAATTGTTCGTGTATTGTATGGGACTCTGCTGTTTGCCCCCGAACAGCAGGGCAACGAGGGGTGCTGGTGGCTTCCAACTGACACATTCTTCTTCTGCAGAGGAAATAAGAAATCTGTGTTCGATTTGAGCTGTGGCTGCTTCTGAATGCGAAGCGCTTTTCACCCATTCGGCTTCTGTTGAAAGGGGGCTGTTCCTGCATCGAGGGCACCTTCGGGTGGGCCAGGCCACGCTGCCATCTCCAAGTGTGTGTGAGGAAGCCCAAACAAGGCTTTCCAGTACAATGACAGTAACTCCCCACAGTGCAGGGAAGCCAGCAGAGACGGTCACACACTTACTCCTACTGCAAAAGACAGCATTGGTGCTGGATAGCCTGAGCAGTCAAAACTGCTCTGCTGCAAACCTGGAAAAGCATCAAACCGATTATCTGGACATTTTGTGCGTGTGTGAGGGCAGTGGTCATTTCCACAATCCACCTCTACAATGGTTTAATGGAGAGTTCTTGACGGTTGCTTCTGATGGCCCTTGGAGCATGCGAGAAAGAAGCCGAACTGCCAGAGTGCCACTGAAGAGAAGAGACAGCTCCAACTGCTGCAGACGGACAAACTTTCACCCCCCCCAACACATTAAGACAAAAGCTTTACTGCTTATGGATAATGGGATGGAGTAACTGTGCCTGGACCTGTGTTGATATTCCCAAGAGATGGCAAACCATGTTTGTGTGTGTGTGTGTTTTGGAGGGAGGGGTTGTTGGCAAACCATGTTTGTGTGTGTGTGTGTGTTTTGGAGGGAGGGGTTAAACAAGATATATATAAATGTGGTTCTTATGAGAACCAATGTGCCTTTGGCACATTAAACTGAGCTGTCCAATGAAGTGTCTCAAATCACTGATTTTTAAAAAAAAAACCAAAGCAAAACAAGAAGCCCCCTCCACCCCCAAAGAATCCTGAGGATTTCAAGATGTCATGCTGGCAATACATTCTTCTTGCTTAGCTTAGAGTCCCGTGTATCATCAGCTTGTGACAGTCTGTGGCTGAGGGCCACACATATTCTCGTGAAGCTTCATGAGAACATGAGACTTTTACTACACACCAAAGGATGCTTCATCCACGGAGGTGGGTGGGTTCTGTTATCCCTGTGGGGACTAGCAGTCTCAATTGACATCTGACAGAAATTGCAGGTATGGGAAAGGGCCACAAATAGCCCTTTCCACAATGCACCATGAAACATATGCCATTTTTTTTAAAAAAGACTCCCCAGTGGAGTGGATCAGGACAAAATGCTATATAGTTCCTCAAAGTTCAAAGTCTCAGAGTTCTGTTTTTGCTTTGCTTCCGGGACCTCCACAAGCAAAGAGGCACCTCCAGGTGAGCTCAGCTGAGCAGGAGGCACCATGGGGCGAAGGCCTCAGACATAGGCTGGCAGCGCCGGTGAGCAGGACAGGAAGAGTGGGTGGCACTCAGCACCAGAAGCCTGCCTTTCACAATGTGAAGGAGCAAGTGGTCCTTATGGAATGTGATCAGTCACTGGGCAAGCATTAATTTTAACTTGTGGTCCACAGAAGAAAAAAAATGGTTGTCAAACAGTCCTAGTCTTTCTGGCATTGGCAACCCCCTCACACTCTTCTGGCTCTTTCTGATGAGCGCAAGAACTCCAGTGCCTCTCGGGCTCTTTCCCCGGCCAGGAGAATCTTGAGGCCCACAGAGATGCCAGCAAGGCCATGGCAAAGCGGCACACAAGGCTGCAGGCAGGAACGTGGCAGTAATTCTGTTGAGAGGCTGAGAGGTCGGTGTTGCTGGTTTGAGCAGTGGGGACATGGCTCTCTGTGCACAGTTTGCACCGGCAGGGTGCCTGAGGCTTTCCTTGCATGCAGAAATATGGCCCCAGTTGTACAGACCCACGCTTGCAGGATTTGGGCTCATGTGAGGCCCACAGCTGCAAAAAGAGGTCTTCTTATTGTCTGTTGGTTCGTTCTGAAATTCACTACAATCTCCTGGACTGATTTTTCGCACTGGATTTCCAGATATGTGTTCTGCTCTCATATACTCTGAGGAAATCCTTTTGCATCTTGGAGACAGGGGGGACCCCACTGAAAAAATGACGGTAAGAAAAATTTACCCACTCCCAATATGTTCTTGTTTTTAACTTGCTTGTTACCTTGTTTTTTTTAAAAAAAGAATAACAACAATAGCAACAACAACTAAAATGAGATGTGTGTCTTTGTGTCTCTCTGTGTGTGTTTCAAAGCTCAAAGCTTCCACGGCAGCACAAAAGACCACAAAATCGTGGTGGGAAATGTGCGAGCATGTAAACAAATGTCACTTGGCATCATGCCTGATTGTTACTGTGCCTCAACTCCCCTCCCAAAAAACAGCAACAACTGGGGGGCACACCATTCAAAACAGGGGCAAAAGCCAGGTCACGTAACTCAGCTTGCAGGGTAGCCCAAGAAGAAAAAAAGTCAAATCAAAATGTAAGGAGATCCCAGCAGGCAGTGTTTTGTTACTGCATATCCAAGGCACTGCAGTGCTCTAGTGCAGAGAGAACAGGCAAGCGACGGCTGAAAGGGCATCAGTGGGGGGGCTGGGGGGGCTGGGTCTTGGCCCCCTTTCCATTACTGGCTGTGAAAGTAGATCGGCTTCACTTTCCCAGAGAGGATCTTCGGGACTTGCACCGAAATGATCTCAGCCATCATTTCTGGGTAATCCACACTGACCATGTGGGACTTAACTAAGAGGTCAAACGTAAACTGATGCAGCTCTCGGGCAATCTAGGAAAGAGGGAAAGAAAGCAGAGAAACTTCAGAGAAATCCTCCAAGAATGGTGCAGACCCCCCCCCCCCCCCCCCAAAAAAAATGATCATGCACATGGATGGGGGTCAGTGTGCTTGTTACCACTTTTCCTCCCTGCATTCAGTTAACGTGGTTGTCTGCACCAGCCTCCTGTGTTGCCCTCTTTATTTCATTGGCCTCCTTACATGTGTTCCCCCCCACCCCCCGGACTAGAACATATGTGTGCTTAGGGTTGTCAGGTCCTCCCTGTCCACCGGCAGGGGATAGGGGGGTAAGGGTCGCCAGATCCAGGTTGGGAGACTCCTGGAGATTTGAGAATGGAGCCTAGGGGGCGGGGAACAGGGACCTCAGTGGGGTACAATGCCATAAAGTTCGCCGTCCAAACCACCTGTTTTCTCCAGGGCAACTGATCTATGGAGAAAATCAAAACCATGGGAATTGATTTTGGCCTCCCTGTACAATTGTGGTGAAACAGCTATTTTGCGGGTGGTACGGAGGAGGATTTGGGATATGGAAGCCCAAACAATTAACGCTGGGAGCTATGGAGTCTGTTCTCCACGCTCCCTTGACCTCCCCCCCCCCAAGCCTCTAGGCCTCGTTAAAATCCCAAAAGGGATGTCGGGGGGGGGGGGGGAGAGAATGGGACTAAAGTGGAGCGACGGCCTTCTCAGGGATTTATGAAAAGCTGTTCTCCTTGCTCAGCACGGGGTCGGCCCTGGCTAGTACTTGGACGGGACATTTAGACATTTCTGGAAAAGGTAACTGTTTGGGATATTTCAGAGGAAAAATTGTGTTTTTAACACCACCTGCGTCTGATGAATGCGGCAGGGTTGCTTCTTGAACTCAATTATGAGGTTTTGACCTTCTAAGAATAAAAATAGCTTACAAAGATTGAATTTCGTAACTTTTCATATATGTCATGGCCCACAGGAATTTGGTTCAGATTTGGAACATTAATGATATCTGAGTGTGCAGAGTCCAAGGCAGAGGCAACCATTTTATTACCTGTCTTCCATAGTCCCCAGGACACCTTTGGAATATTGGATTCTCCCCCCCCCCATTTGAATATATGCATATGCATATTGAGGCAACATTTTGTCACACTGTTTTCATAAACATTCCAGATGCCAGTATTTAGCTGAGCATAACCTTCTGCAGCAGATTATAGATAGTCTCTGTATACTTTGCCAAGAACATCAGACAACTGATACCCTGAAGGAAAGCCGGGGCACAGCTGCGCCGGAGAAGCCGAGAGAGGCAACGAGGGGCACTGAGGAAACTTTCAGGGACCTGCTGCAGCCTTCTTGTTCCCACCCCCTGGAGAATGAGGGTCTTGTTTTACTGTTCATTTATTATTTGGACTTTTGGGCCACCCTCCCCTGCAAGCAAGGCTCGGGGCGGCTTACAACAGAATGGGACAATAAATAATTTTGGATTAAGCTAAAACCAATAATAAAACATAGTACAGAGTCAATAAATAAAACAAGCTATTCCAAGATGGCAGGGGATTTCAACAGGAAAACTGCAACTTCCCATAGCCTCCTGGGGGTGGGGCCGGTGAGGGGGGTGGGGCGAGAGACTTGAGAAGGCCAGACGGGCTCCCTGTCCCGTCCCTGTCCCCAGCCAAGTGCCTGGCGGAACATCTCTGCCTTACGAGCCCTGCGGAAAGGTGGTAAACCCCACGGGGCTTGGACGTTCTCCGGAAGAGAGTTCCACCGGGTGGGGGCCAGGGCCGAAAAGGCCCCCCTGGCCCTGGAGGAGGATGGCCGGGTCTCTTTCAGGCCAGGGACCACCAGTAGGTCTTTGCTACCTGAGCGTAACGCTGCATTGGGGCATCCTGAGAGAGGCAGTCTCGAAGGTCCGTGGGCCCCGGACTGCTCAGGGCCTTCAAGGTCAGGACCAGCAACCTGGACTTGATCTAGGGCAGCTGAACTTGAAGCCAGGGCAGCTGCGCAGCACAGGCTGGATTCTGGACCAGTGGGAGCTTCTGAGCCAGCCTCCAGGGAAGGCCGGCGTAGAGCGAGTTACAGTGGTCTATCCTGAAAGTGACCATTGTGTGGATTACCGTGGCTAGGTCACAGTGGGACAGGTAGGGAGCCAGTTGCCAAACGTGGCACAGTTGGAGAAACGCCAGCCTGGCAACCATCGCAACCTGGGCCTCCATTGACAAGGTGGCATCCAGGGTCATGCCCAGGCTCCTAATGGTCGGTGCCAGTGAAAGGGGCACGCTGTCAAGAGCCAGGAAGAAGAAGAGGAAGAGGAGGAGGAGGAAGTTGGATTTATACCTTACCCTTCACTATCTGAAGGAGTCTCAGAGCGACTTATAAACTCCTTTCCTTTCCCCTCCCCACAACAGACACCCTGGGAAGTGGGTGGGGCTGAGAGAGCAGCTCTGAGAGAACTGTGGCTTGCCCAAGGCCACCCAGCAGCTGCATGTGGAGGAGTGGGGAACCAAACCCGGTTCTCCCAGATTAGAGTCCGTGTGCCTAACCAGTACACCAAATTGGCAACCCAGCTGTGGCCCACCCCCAACAGGGTGCCAGGCTGAGGAGGAAGGAAGCCATCCCTTAGAAAGGAGCCATGCCTCAGAAGACGAACCGCTAACCTCTGGCGCTCGAGGGAGAGAGAAGGGGCTCTGGGTAATGGGTGATTCTGTATGGAAACTGTCTAGATAGATTGGTAGGTTGTCTGGGGAAGAGAGCACTGTTGGGAAGTGTACCCAAGTGGTCCTGGAGGGGACACCTACTTTGCTGGGTAGGAAGGTAAAGGCTTGGTGGGCCTTTAAAGTAGCATTTTTAGACCAGCGGAAACAAGGAGCCTCAATGGGTGGATGGAGAAAGGGTTTATGCTCCTCAGGCACCCAGGGAATGCTTTGGAAGAAGCCAACTTTGTACAAAAGAACAAAGTCCAGTGGCACCTTCAAGACCAACTCAAACTTTGTTCTTTTGCTTCAGACCAACATGGCCACCCACCTGAATGTTCATACAAAAGAGGCTCCACTTGAAGTAAAATGGGACCAGACTATGAAAAACACTGCAGAGCATCTTTAGGCTAACTCCTGGCAGGCACTGAGGATCCCCAAGGGATAATATAAGATGCATTTTCTGTCATCAAAATGGGGGAAAAGTAGAACTTGACAGAATGTGGCAGGAAATTATGAGTAGAGGGGCATAGGAAATAAACAGTGGGTTCCATGGATGAGCAGGCTGGAGCCTAGTGATCAGCTCCACTTTATTTGTGATTTCAGCAAGAGCAAGACAAGGCCCCAGAGCCTCCGGTCTGTTAGATAGCATGCCATGGCCACACCCAAGCACACCCCACTCCCAGTGATGGGCTTTTTACATGACATTACTACTAGACTGGTTACTTCCAGAGTCCTGGCAGGCTATTGTTCTTTTGCTCCAAGCTCAGCCAGTCCCTGGGGTGATTCAGTCAGGGATGATTCAATCCCAATACATAACAGAATAGACATGCTGAGACATTTTGGAGAAGGAAACAAGGTGGAGTTATTTATATGCCAATGCTAGATTTATATGCCAAGCTAAGATATTTTTTAAAAATTGATTTGTCATTTTACTGACTTTTTATAGGCTTGTTTTGTTTAACTGGCTGGTTGTGTTTTTATTATTTTAGTTGTGATTCCCACCAGCAGATTGTGGAGAGGCAGCATAACATTTTTATAAATAAGTAGATAAATAGTTTGGTAGTAAATGAGAATGTCGATACAGTGACGGATTTAGACATCTGATGGAACTGTGAAAACCAGTGGGATACCATTATTAACTCTGTATGTCAAAGAGGGTTATATAAGGTAGGAAAAGGAATAAATTATCCCACAAAATTGCTATGGGTACAGGCTCCATACCTGGAAGGCAGCTTAAAAGTGGGTCCCATACTATTGCCCGCCTAATCAAAAGTCTGAGGGCAACCTGAAGCGGAAAAAGATGTAAGGAAGATGACCAGAGGAGGAAATTGTGAAATAATGGGCTGCTTCCTCACACTGTCTGGGTCCATGCATATTCCAGTCATGACCGAGAGACACGAATGATTGTGCCCTGGAACAGCTAGTTAAAGAACTGATGAGAGGGGAGGTGACTCGGGCCCCGATTCTGAATGGTGCACATGGTGCGAGAGGTGAGTGTCTGAGTCAACAAGGTGGGAACACAGCGATTCCCTGCAGCATTTATGAAAATGGAAGATGCCCTAAAAGTCCAGTTCAGGTACCCCTGGGGTCAGAAAAGGAAACTTCTCAAAAATTAGAGTATCAGTCAAAAGGAAGCTGAAAGAGAGAATAAAGAGGGTCAAATCTCTTCAGTATGCTTGTAATAATTGAAACGGCCGTAGAATGTATTCGGCAACTCAGGAGAACTTCCACCAAATCCCAGGGGATGTCAGGGTGGTCAAGGAGTAGGCAAGGAAGCTGTAAAAAAGCAAGAAGGCATCTTTTAAAAAAGGGGGGGGGAAATCTGGCCTACGCGAGGAAAGCAAGGAGGAGCGAGAGGGTTCCCCGGTTCCTCCGGCCACAGTTGGGGGGTGGGGTGGGGTAGGGCTGCCAGATCCAGGTTGGGGGAGGAGCCTGGGGAGGACGGGGACTTCCTCAGTGGGGCACAGTGCCACAGAGCCCACCCTCCAAAGCACCCATTTCCTCCAGGGGAACTGATCTCTGTCGTCTGGAGAAGACCCGTAATGCTGGGGGTTCCCCAAGTCCCACCTTGAGGCTGGCATGCCTGGGAGGAGCCCATTTGGCAAAACAAACAAAAGTTCAAGATCAGGTGTGCAAAATAAGAATCTGAGGAGCGTATCTGCTAAATATTGAGATGAATAATAAGAATTTCTTTATATCAGAAAACCAGCCAGAGAAGCAGCTGGGTCACTGGATGACAGAGGACTGAAAGGATTGCTGAAGGAAGACAGGGAGACTAAAGAGGAGCCAAACAAATCCTTTGTGTCGGTCTTTACTGTGGAAGGCAGGGAAGGG